TATATTCTGCTGATTAATCCCTTGTCAGATGGATAGTTTGCAAATATTTGCTCCCATTTTATGCATTGTCACTTCACTTTGTTGTTTCCTTTGTTGTGCAGAAGCTTTTCAGCTTGATGTAATCCCAATTTTATCTTCTGGTTTTATATATTGCTGTCCTATATCTAGCAAACTGTCAAGTACTTTGACCAACTTTTTCAGCACTGGTAATAGACTTAGAGTGATTACATGTTTAGTCCTTCCTTTGATCAAAAGGGCACAGGCTATGCCTTTGACCAAACTGGCTTACACAAAAGTGAACATATTGTAGCTTTGATTTTATTTATGCTCTAAACTGAAAAGTTTAGGCTTTTTTTTTTTTTTTAAAGAGACAGCATCTAGTTCTGTTGCCCAGGCCAGAGTGCAGTGGTACAATCATAGCTCACTGTAGCCTCAAACTCCTGGGCTCAAGAGATCCTCTCACCTCAGCCTCCCAAAGTGCCGGATTACAACTGTGGGCCACTGCGCCCCGATCAATCTTAGGCTTTTAAAAATGTTTGTAAAATTCAAAGAATTTAAATAAGATAAAATCAGGACTCTTTTTTTAAACCTATAGTTCCCAAGGAAATTTATTATCAGAAATTTTATTTCTGATAATAAGTTGAATCTATTATCTGACCACTCTTAGAATACATTATAGGTTTCTTTAGGGCAAGGATTCCAAGTTATTATACCTACATTGGTGTTCACTAAACCCATTTCCAATGATGGCATAATACCTATTATGTATAATTCTTCACATCACCTTTCATTTTTATTAATTACCTCTCAAATGACCCTGTGAAATTTAGAATTATCTAAAGCCCTGCTATGGTCTGAATGTTTGTGTCCTTCCAAAATTCATACATTGAAATCTAATCCCAAATGTGCTAGTATTAAAAGGTGGGAATCTTGGAAAGTGATTAAGTCATGAGGGCTACGCTCTCATGAATGGGATTAATGCCCTTATAAAAAGGCTTGAGGGGGCTCATCTCTCCCTTACACCATGTGAGGACACAGAGAAGGCAATATTGATGAAGCAGAGAACCCTTACCAGACACCAAATCTGCTAGTGCCCTAATCTTGGACTTCCCACCCTCCAGAACTGTGAGAAATAAATTTGTTGTTTATAAATTACCCAGTCTAAGGTATTTTATTATAGCAGTCCAAATAGACTAAAACATGTCCTAAAGGAAAAAAATTACTTTTTTAAAACTACCATTTTTCATCTTCTCATCTTGCTTGTAGTTGGCACAAACCACACTTTTCATAAGGTGTATTCAGTTCAAATCAGCAAAAATTTCTGAGGGCACACTCTATGTTTACACTACTGGTGCTACAGGGGATTAATAAAAGTATTTTTTCCTTAAGAAATTTGTGTGTGAAAAGTCAAACCTGGTGTTTAAAAGTTAAAAGCTAATGCCAGGCATGGTGGCTCATGCCTATAAATCTTAGCATTCTGGGAGCCTAAGGTGGGAGGATCACTCGAGCCCAGGAGTTCAAGACCAGCCACAGTAATGTAGCAAGACCCTGTCTCTACTAAAAAATTAGCTGGGCATGGTGGCACGTGCCTATAGTCAGTCACAGCTACTTGGGAGGCCGAGGCAGGAGGATCACTTGAGCCCAGAAGTTTGGGGTTGCAGTGAGCTGATGATGCCACTGCACTCTAGCCCTAGCAACAGAAGAAGACCCTGTCTAAAAAAAAGAAAAACAAAAAAACCCACTAATACACAGTAGTATATAATTCAGCACTAAAGTGAATAAGATACATTAAATACCAAATTAATGAGACATAGTTTATAAATCTGATAAATTTATTTATAAAATTCATGTATGATTTAGAGATCATACTGTTTTTGTGAATCTCTGTTGTTTATATAGTTATTAGTCCTTTAAGGAAATCCATTTTATAACACTAATAAGAATGAAAATG